GACAATATACGATAGAATGAATGTAAAACTAATGTTCTCCCATGTAAACTATCACATAATTCACAATAAAACATTTAAGGAAAAAAAAAAAAAGAAATAAAGTGATGTGTTGCAGTAAGAAAAAAAAGTTTTATCCATAAATGTATAAACCAAAAAATAACCAAATCTACCATTAGTTCCAACTCATGGTAATCCTGTAGGGCATTTCTAAGACTAAATCATCTTAACAGGAGCAGACAGCCTTATCTTGTTCTCAAGGAGGTACTATTGAATTTGAACCACTAACCTTGCAGTTAGCAGTGCAGTGCTTATCTACAGTGTCTCCAGGTCTCCTACAAATGTAATTGAATTCATAACACAACTACAATTTTGCTATATTTTTTTTCTTAACGTTTTAGCACTTGAACTCACAATATGTTAGAAAGTTTTTATGATTTTTGAATTGTTTTTATAGATAATGGGAGGTATTGGTTCTAACATATTTCCAAAAGTTTCTTAAACTAGCATTTTTAACATTTATTTTAATTTTTCTCCTTTTCTTAAAGCAAAGAGAAATCAGCCTTTGGAAAATTGAGTATAAACAAACCAACATCGTCTACATCTGAAAGAAAAGTTTCTGTGTTTGGCAAAAGGTAATGATATTTCTTGGATAATTCTAATGAAAGAATTTTTATATCTATTCATTCAGCTAGATGCTCTCAAAATACGAAAGATTATATGGCATTCGCCTTCCAAGACAAAGTTAAAAGTAGATAAAACCATTCTTAACCATTTAAAACAGAGGAAAGCTGGATATATTAGCACATTATATATAAAACTAGATATATTAGCAAATTATATATTACCCCACCGAATCTGTCGCCATCAAATCAAATCCATCTCAAAGCAACCTGATACGTTACAGAGTAGAACTGCACTGTAGGTTTTCTTCATTGTAATCTTTACTGAAACATATCACCAGACCTTTATCTTTCGTAGTGATGCTGAGTGAATTTGAACTGCTGAGCTTTAGGATATGTTAATAAGTGCCATCAAATTGGTTTCTACTCATAGTATCTCTGTATTAGATTTCTGAGAAGTGCCTGGTAGATTTGAACTGCCAGTCTTGCAGTTAAGCTGTCCATTGCTCATCCTACAGTGGCACACCAGGACTCACTTTATGTTATAGCACTTTAAAACTAGAAAGGCTCATCACTTAAATATGTCAGTGCGACTCGTAAGAGCATTTGTTTTGTAGGTTATGTCTATCAATATTCACCATATTAGAGCTTAAAACTGAAAATTTTTAAACAAAGTATTCAATTAAAAATGTCTATTTCATTAATGCGTTAACACATTTTTCATGTTTAAAACATTTTTTAAACACAACAATTTTAGTTAGAAAATTGACATTGTTCTTCGTTTTACCAATCTCTTTAAAGTTTAATGTCTGACTTCTTAGGAGACAACAAGATTCTCATATCTACTTCTGCATTCAGTCTTGCAGTATCATATGCCCTGGAGGCTCTAGAAAACTGCATTGTACAGTCATGAGAGATTAAGAGTGAAAAGAGCAAATAACATCTTAGTCTTATTGTAAAAATAATTTTGACTTCTCAGAGCCCTAGATCACATTTTAAAAGCAACTTTATCAATGCAGATCAGTGTTTACCTGAGTAGGGAGTGGAAGAAGAATTGACAACTAAAAGGTACAGGGAACTTTTGAGGATGATGGAAATGTTTTGTATTTTGATTGTGGCAAAGATTACACAGATTTTGTATAAATTGTCAAACCTTATCCAATTGTACATCTTAAACAGGTATATTTTAATCTAAACAAATCAAACTTCAGTAAAGTTGATTTAAATAAATGTTTAATCCCAGTATTATGAAGGTAAAGTATGTTCTGTTACCTCACAAAAACAAAATATAATGCTGTTTTAAGACAAACCTGATTATTCAGTTGTTTTTAAAATATTTAAAAATGAAATATTTGTCACCTTAAAAAAAGTCCTAGCCTTGCAAGTTAGACTTCAGCTTCTCGTATTTATTCCAGTTTGTAAAAAATCATAAGGCATTTTTGCAATGAAACAGTCATTTCAGAGCTGAACTTCATAGATAATATTGTAATAATTATGAAGCCTAACATTTGCTGAGCATTTCTCTGATCTAAACATTGTTTTAAATGTATCTATATTAACTTTTTAAGCAATCCATAGAACTGTCCTATTATTTCCATTTTATAGATAAGGAAGCACAGAAAGGTTAAATAATTTACCGAAAATCACACAGCTTGTAAGAGAAACATAATTTAAAACCACATATATTATGCTCTTAAGTATAAATTGACCAATACAATATTTTGCTTGGTGGGTAATTCTCTTAAAATTTAAAAAGATATCTAAAAGTGGAGTTTTGTGTAGAATAAAAGCTGAATTTCATCACATATCTCTACATAGTTCTCTTTTTTAATGGTAAAAAATATTAAAAGTAAAGTAATAGCAGTATATGAGAAGGTGGTTCTTAGTTTAGCAAATTCCCAAGGGCAAAAAAATAGCTAATTAGTCATAACAGTGACTGAGAGGTCTCAAACTAAAAAGAAGTGAGTAGAGGAGAATGTGTAAGAAACTTCTAAGGAAAAATGAAGTTTGATGAAAAGTTCAAATATTATACTATTGTTCATTATAACTAAGATTTATGGTATCTCTCCAATAAGGAAAATTATTTTCCCGGGATGATTTAATACACTGTGATGGTTAGCTCAATTAAGGCACAAAGTAGAAAAAAATAAAACATTATAAAGATCATTTAAACAAAAGGTTTTGTTTTAGTGCATAGGGACTTAGAATAAAGCAAATGTATGCTATCCCCTCTATGAATAAAATGTATTAGTGTATATTTAATAAATATTGGCATTTCATAAACAGGCGTGTTCATGAAAAGAAACATACACAAACTCTTTAACATAACTGAAAGGGAAGTTTCCAACAAGAAATAATAGTAAATGAGGGGGTGGGTGATGAAATGAATCATGAAGGGATAAATAAGATGGTGAACAGACTTAGGTTATTGAATAGTTTGGGGAGTTCTTGGTATTGAGCATCTTGTTCTTGTTGTATGTCATCTAGTAAGTTCCAACTCATAGGGCCTTGTATAGGCTTTCCAGGAATGGCTGGTGGGTGTGAACTGCCGACCTTGCTGTCAGCAGTCCAATACCTATTCTGTAGCACCACAGGAGAGCATCTAGTGGACTCAAAAGGTGGAGTCTTAGAGGACAGGGTATGTGGTGGTAATAGAAAGGACAAAAGAAATGTATTTTTATTCTTACCTCATTTAATTTCTGAGTTATTTAACTACTATAACTTCTCACTTTATTTTTCATTATGTGTTCTTTTTCTGTGCTTTGAATGAAAGAATTTGTTCCATTAAATACAAATTAGACCCCACTGAGGCAAGACAACACGGGTAAGGAGGGCTCCAAGGACAAAGGGGTAGATCTTAAGGAGGAGGCCGTCTGGTAGCGGACTCAAAACCCTCAAATCACCATAAGGCTCAGGGCATCTGCCTCCTCTACTCACTTTTTCAAAAAATCACGCCACAGAGGAATTTTTGGAATTTTGAACTTTCACCCGCTAATGCCAGCAGCAACTGGCCCAGCTCCTTAGAGCTTTGAAGGTGGGGCTACAGCCAGCCCAAGCAGGGAATCTCAGGCGGACAAAAGCCGCAGGAGAGTTCTCAGCCCGAGCTTAAAATCTCAAGGCGTGTAGCAGGCAGGGAAAGGAG